CAAACCGTGTGAAGTTTGGCACAACAGGAAGCAACAGGAATCTGCAAGTCCAGTCCGATGCGTGGCAAGCATCCGAGGTTCCGGAATCACTGCGTTGGTCCAGTGTAGTCGGGGAGTCTACCTCTGCGAAGCTGTGTTGCGGCTCGAATCAGAAGCCAAAGTTGGCATGAGAAACACGCTTCCAAAAGACCATTCGGATCATCTACGAGCATCTTTCTCACTCTGATCATCCACGATCATCTCACATGCAACCGCTCTTTGCTGTGCAACATGAGTATGCGCGGTCCAACGCTATGCAAGCTTTCAAGGTTGTGCTGATGTGGCAAGTTGCGTCCGGCGCAGGCGACGCATCTACCTCCGCAGCACTGTGCTTTGGCTCTCCGGTCAGAACATTCTACCAAACAACACCTGTTCTTGTTGGTCAGCATCCTAGCAGGAGACAAGGAGATCTGGTTCAAGGACATCCACAAGTAGTCCTTCTCCAAATCCAATGGAACTTCTGGAAGGAAAACGCACAGGTACAACATAGCTTACGGACCCAAGTAACAAGTGTGCGGGAGTTGCAAGTGTGCAGTTACCGAAGCGTCTCCAGAATACCTCTTTGAGAAGCACGTTTCGAAAGCTCGGATCCTGGTTGCGCCTCGCATCTTTCAGGCTTGGAGCATAGCTCCACGTCGGGAACCTGCGCATGTGGAGATCTAATATGGGTCTAACCACGCACCAAAGGTTTTCGGAGCATGTTGTACCGCGCTACAGCTATGGAAGACGGCTAAGGGTCGACAAAGGCAAGCGGCTGGTAATTGTTCAAGCTTCTGTATCAGGGCTCCCTCCAGGCATACAAGGCTTCTTAAGTGACTTTCAGAGCTTGCGTGCCAGTGTAGGTACAAGACAAAGCGTGAGAACGATTCACCTCATAGCAGCGTTAGCACAGGGCCGTCTGGAGCCTCTTTTTTCAGTACCGTCCCAGTTGGAGACAACAACATTTTCAGGACGGGCCGCAAGCGCATGTTGGATCGTCCTTTCTCGTTCGGGGCTGCGGCTTGAAACACGCAACCGCAAGAACGACTGGCGAGCCCGAATGGCGAAGGAGCCAGGATTGCCAAACACAGCAATGAACCCTACTACCAATCGTTTCGCTCAACTTTGACGGCCGAAACTCATTTCTGCCAAGCCTCAGCAGAGTGACCCCCGCCACTTAAACAAGTCCTCACAACAACCCAAGCCGTCAGAACCACTGAAACAAAAACGAATCGAGGCTGCACTGACACTTTCAAAAGATTTTGGACATCGAAGATTGCAACTGTGCATAACTTTGTGCCTCCGGCCGGCGTCCTGACAAAGGGAGCTTTCCATTTGACCATGGAATGTGCACTTGCAACGTCATGCTTCCACTATCGAACCCCAAATTCCTGTTTTCTTTGTCAAAAGCTTTCTGAAATTAACAACAGTCCAGATGGGACTGCCATGAAGAGGCACAAGTGTTGTCGTTCAGTTTGATGTTCTTCATGGAAGGCACACGCGGCTTACTTTGCAACGTCAGAAATGGTCCATGGCAGCATCCTGCAGTTTGCTCCGTCTTCGCTGCTCAACCTGGAAACAGGTGCAAGGTGTCCTCAAACAATGCTCCATTCCGTTGTGGTATGGTCAACTGTCGATTTCACATCGCACCCACGAAGTGTCGTCTACAACAGCCCAAATGCCATCCGACGCTTTCTGTTCTCCTTGTCACATGACAGCTAATGATGAAGCCCTGTCAGCATTAATAGACATATAGCAGCTTGAACTTGAACAAAGATGCGTGGCTCCATGACGGGAAGGTCTCGCACGTTCACCTCAGCCAGCAGCACTGCAAGCTGTAGACCAAAAGATCCAGCACAATGTCAACGACATGGCATGGCTTTTTTGAGCTCCCGCACATCTGGCTGACCGTTTGCGCAGCCGCTGAGGCGTATGAAGGCGCTGAAGCAATCCAAACAACAGTCCATCATCACAGCAGGCCTTCTGTCAATTTGAAACTAGCTGTGATGCATAAGGTAGTTTGCATGAAAGTAGACACATAGGGCAAGCCTCTTACGAGAATTGAAACTGCCCTGCATGATTGTTGTTGGTCCTACAGTTGCAGGTTTAACGTCCTGTATTGCAGGGAAGCCTTCCTAGATATTTGCTGAGATTTTGGCCTGACGTTCGAAAGCTGATCTGAGCCGGGTTTACAGGCTGCGGCTAAAACATTGCACGAGATACATGCCGGCACTGCGCATCAGGGCTGCGCCAGCCGGACGTGAAAGCACTGAATCCACGGCTTGTGCAAAACAATCAACCCCTTGGTACGCGATTTTGCGACAACTGCTTGGTGTGCGATTGTCATGCATCTCATGCTGGTTGTTTAAACACTGTTGACATGCTGCTTTGCTCACAAAGAATTGAGGTTGATGGCATGACCCATGAACCAAAACGAAGTACACGACTTGCCGGGCGTAATGCTAGCCGCCTAGCCATCATGCCAGGCATTTAATATCACCATGATGGAGTCTACTCTGCACGCCGGTTGCGGATGTACTGCTTCACCCGCGGCAGCTCCCAAGCGCAGGTTGGAAATCCAGCTGCTCTTTTTGCTCTTCCGGACCCTGTTTGTCTTTTTTGCTTTCTTCATTGCTCGCTTGTATCTTTTCGAGCCTTCTTCTTCGCTCTTTTTCTTTCACTCGTTGACGTGTAATAATCTGATTGCTCCACAAACAGCTGGACTGCAATTAACAACCAGCATGACAGACAGCTCCTTATTGATTTTCTCGTTTTTCTTTCAGAAACAGGCTGCAAACTTGGCTGCATGCACATCTGGGCGCCCCTGCTATATTAAACATGCTCCGGCACAGTTTGCGCAGCGGTGACTTCGAACAGGTCCACTTCCTGACAGGGCAGAATTGCTACCTGAACCCTCCGCACGACTAAACTGCGGGGCAAGGTGAAGCATGATGTGCAGGAGCCCTTGAAGGAGCGCATACCCAATTTCGCACAACTTCCTCATCAAGTCTTCGAAGATCCGCCAACTCGTGGTGCAGGTCTTGCAAGAGCTTGCGGTGGAAAGTTGGGACAGCTCCTTTTCAGGATGGCTTCGACTACGAGGGTTCAAGCTGAGAAGCCCCCAAGGAGACACATTGCAGATGTTATGGGGCTCGCCTGCTGCATAACTGCCTTGACACCACAGACTGGACCATCTGCCTGGGTGCTCAAGGCCTCTCCTTGGACCTGCAAAGCGCTGCAAAGCAATCCCGGGCCTGGTCCGCGGTCCAAGCCACATGGAGGTCGCAGAGTCACAGTGGCTCTAAGTCCTGTTTCTTCAACGTGCTGTGCCCAGCAGTGGCAGCTTCGTGGATTGTGTGACCTTCATTTCTCTGGCTGGCGCGGTGAAGGGCGAGTCTTGATGTAGATCTCAAGAACCAGCTGCTGCGGCTGAAGACGTTGTCAAGGTATGCGTTAAACAGCTTAGCTTGGCCTCAACGAGCACTCATGAGCACTCATAGCGGTGATTGTGGGGGGCAGTCAGGAACCTGCAGCTCCACCCGCGCCCCCCCCCACACTCCAGCGCTCTGCTCTGGAATCTACTCTGAGTTGCGGAGCTGCTGACTGATTGTTGACCTAACCTTTTAACTTTCGTCACGGTGCCCTCGTGCGGTCTCATAAGAATCGAACTGTTTATGTCAATATCCATAAGAATCCAACGTTTGGAAGCCAATCCCAAGAATGCAGTTCGTGAAGTTCACCCACCTTAACTTGACAAACTCGCCCAGAAACGGAGCGATCCAGCATCAGTGCAACATGCTGCTGCCAGAGCGGCTCGCGGACATGGAAATCTCTGTGATAACAAAGGGAATTCCCTGCAAAACAAATTTGGCGAGGCGGTATCGGAGCTCACGCGAAAACTCAACGTCAGCCTTGGGAGAGGTCCGAGAAAACGAAATTCTGCAACTGCTCCAAGCTCCAACCAGCATGCTATCCCTCTGCCACCTCCAATGCATGAGAAGGAAGACTCCTCTTCGCACGACACACCGCAAGGTTAACAGCGTGAAGATTATGCTGACCACGATTCTCATGGGATCGCTCCTGCTTTGGCAGATCGATTGGCTTCTTGTGTGCAACTAGCGACAGCAAGGAAATCCGACCTCACTTACGAAGGCCCCACTGTGCTTTTCACGGCAATCAGCACGTTTTCTGTAAGGCATAAAAACTGCCGACTGCTTGACACAAATGCTGCAAGGCGCCGACTGCCGCATACCCGACTGTGGGGTTTTGGCTGAATTCAGCACTTGCACCACCTGTCTTGTCAGATTTGCCAGGAAATTGACCGGTGCTGGGCACGAGCGACTGGTATGCCACAAAATGCAAGAGGATTACTCACAGCATGGCTATGGCTGACTGCGCCCAACATCCAGCGAAAAGCATCTAGGTCTGACAACTCCTCTTCTCTTCGAGATACAGTAGAAGCTGTCTGAATTCAGGCCGAGAATGCGGCAAGCAGCCTCTGTGTATTTGATGGAGGCTTGCCACAGACATCACAGACATGCACCATTATGGTGCACCATGACCCCTCAAAACTTGGCAGACAGCCTCGGACAACACCTTGCCCTCTGCTTCATGGACGTTTGTCCGTTGGACATGCACCATCACCTGTACAAAGTCAGAGACGTCGCAGAGGCTCGTCCGATGGCCTTGGGTCTCTCGATGCATGCACTCACTGATGCCTCTGAGACTCTGGCATGTTCTGGGCTGCTGGCCGTAATGGGTCAGGCATCTTTGTGGAGGCTTTCCATGTGAAGCTCTACAATGGCCTGGACACCTGGGCAGCAACAGAACTCCCTTGCTGCCCCTTGATTCAGCTGCACAGCGACACAGCGATGGCAGCCCCAAGTCCGGGCCGAGGATCGGCGGATGTTCCTTGGAATCGCGAGGCATCATGACGTTACGTCGTGGGAAGACCGCTTAAACATTTTTTTTTTCCGGGGGGCTCTTCGGACATCATGAAGCCGCAAGACCGAGTCAAAGCAGCTTTGGAGACCAGGGGTCCTCAGAGCTCTCGTTTGCAGGAGCCAAGTGAGCCAAGCCCAGAAGCCCAGGTGAGAATGGAATTGGATGGAATTGGGTTGAGGCGCCCCAGACCAGCCATCCGAAGAGCGGCATGCCCACTCCGCTGGTGATCAGGTATGCCTCATTTAGATAACCCCTTCAGCTAACCTGTTTTCCTTTTGGGCAGCGCTCTGGGTCTAGAGCGACGGATCGAACGTAGTTCCGGTGTCTGAAGTTGGCATGAGCCTCAGGCACATCCTTTGGTGATCTGGGGACTCTGGAAATCTATAAAGTTGTCACATTTGCGTCTAAGAAGCCAGGGGCTTTGTCAGCTCAAAGCAGACGAAGATCAGGCACGTCTGTGCTACAGCCAAGACCAGCCTTGTAAGCCAAGGCCTCAGGGGCAGTCAGCTTCAGCACAGCTCCAGCTGTCTTGGACGAAGTCGTGGCACGTGGGGCGCCATGAATATTGAACAATTGTACGCGCGAGTGCGGAGAACCTTCTGCTTACAAGCTCAGATTCAAAAGATGCCTGCTGTCATGTTGCCTGACTGCCTGCTCATCGCGGGTCGGGCGGTGCCGCATGCGAGATTTACGGCAAGTGATACGTGTGTCGTAAGTATCAGATACAGTCCTTTTGAATACTGGCGGCGATGGTACTTACTTACTGTGGCGAGTTTCTACAGTGAGAAGCATGGTTCAGATTGTGCACCGAGGTTCTGACTGCCAATCGTTTCACCTTCTGCCCGTGGGCTTTATCTTTCTTGGTCATCTGAATCCTGCTATTATTCGCGCTAGGTGCAGGCAGGCTCTGAACATGGTGATTTGTCAGCAAAAATGCCAATCACGAACTTTCTGCGTAACCTGCATCATTAGAGGCTCTTCTCTCTTGGCAAGCACACAGGGCACTTCAAGCCGTCTCTCTAAACAGGGCGAGAATCCAATGCATCAGCTTTGTATGAGACTCGACAAGCTTCCCATGATCGTACGCTCCTCGGAAGAGTACTGACCCTGATTGGAAAACACTTGCGCTCTGAGCTGGGTATTCGCAGGACCGAGGATCCTTTCTTCAATCCGGCAATGACGCACGTCGTCGACACCCAGATAACAATGAGGATCTAGGTGGCAGCGCGTTGTTCCGGACCACGTGTGTTGTGTGGCAGCGGTTCACAACATCTAAGCATCTAAGAAGCCTAGCGGTTGCCTGGGTGATGAGCTTCAAGCGACTGAACAGGCTTGTTTCTCAAGTCTACCCTTAAGGATGAAACTGGGAACGGAAAGACGCAAAAACCTCCTTGGGAGCGAAATCCCACATCAGAACCCCTGAAGGTTCAGTGGCTGCGCTTCTGTTACACAGAACGCCACATGCTGAAATAAGAGGAGTGTCCACTGAGAAGAAGGCAAGCCAGACGGCAGTGAATTCGAAGTCAATCCTGGGCTGCAATTCTCTGACTTGCCATCGAAAACAAAGCATAGTGGCATAGTGTGCTTCTTCGCTGGACTGCGCTGCAAAACAGCACCGGATTCTACGGCGTTTTCAGGTTCCGCATCATTTTCAATGATGATGGTTTAAGTTTGGGGGCTTCATCTTGTGGTTGCCCCTTGGTTTTATGAGGTTGCAGCACAGAATTGCCTGACCTTAAGTTGTTGATCTTGGGCATTTGGCCTTCATTTCAGAGGGCTGCCGCAACGCAGATGCCCGAGTATCAGCTGGTTACAAGTGACACACTCACAGTCGACTGAGCGGCTTCATCCGGTGGATGCTGGCCTGCAAACCTGAGGCATCCAACATGCAAAAGCCCCGGCTTTGCTTAACTCACAGGATGTTACTTTGCGTGCCAGAGCCGCCATTGATCAAAATGATGCCAATCAGGGAGACGGGTTGGACAGCCACCACGAAGTCCAGCAGAGATCCTGAGATTCCCCTTATCTCAAAGGGCAAGCGTCTCAGTCTGAGCCAAGCCACGGCAATTTAGGCGAAGGTAGTGGCTGAATGGGAACCACGGGTGCAGAAAGTTGACGATGCCTTCCAGGCTACATGCTACTGTTTCGTCCTGGGCTTTGCCGGGTCTCAACCTCTGCCAGGAACAATTCAAATGCAGCGCCTTGATTCTCAAGGGGCACATGGCTCTGGATGGTCTTCCCCAACCTTGGTTCGTCACGGGGCTTGCAGGCTTGCAGGTGCTATGCTTCCATAATCTATGGGCCCTATGATCCAAGGCAACCATTTCAGCCAAGAGGCGTTTCATCAAAGAAAGCCTCACAACCACGGCTTCGGTTTGTCTGCATGTTGGGACCGTTGGGATTTGTAGCGCTGTACCCGCTTTCTTCCATACATTCCCCATACAGTCTTGAAAACGACATCGAGCCGATCTGTTGGAGGTCTCAAGTGTCGTGTGCAGCCAGTCTTGCTGAACCCAATGAACAGTGGACTTGAACTGTTACGCCGTAATTGCACTTGCTATAGATGCCTGCTCAAATCTTTGTAGAGCTGTCTAGTGGAGCCCATCACACTGTTTCTCGGCCAAGCCACCCACCTGCCCGACCATGATTGCAAAGCTTCCAGGAATGTCCGGCCTCACAGCTCAGTTCAAGGGTGGACTTCATGGAACTTCTGGCGCATTCCTGCACAACAATTCGAATTGGAGGGACCAAGATAAAACATACAATCGACGATGAGGAATCCTCTGCACTGGTGAGAGGTCTCTCATGCAGATCGGACCGGCAGGTCTGCAAGTGCCCACACTCGAGACCCTTGGTCAGGCCATAGTAGCTATACAACCCAGAAGGGAAGTTGTACTGACACTAGCACAAGCCGTCAACCGTCATTGAACTCTCGAGCCGTTGCAGACTACTCGCCCCTTCACAGGGGCTTGTCACTGTGGAGAATACACGCAGCATACCCTTGGTTAATGGTGCTTGTTCCACCGACGCTCAACTCTCTCAACAGTTCAACAACATTCACCAGGCCAATGAAAAGCATGAGGAGGCCGGAGAGGGCGATGCGAATGCAGGACAGAGCCGCTGAAAGTTGCTTGAGGAACTGCAGGCCAAAGGACTGAGCTTGGCCTGTGCATATGCCATGTTATGCCTCCTGTCACGGACCACGTGAGGAGCTGTGGCTGACTGATGTTTAAGTAAATGCCTGAAAGACTGGTGTCTACAAACCTTGCACATTGATGCTATGAGTCTATTGGAGCAACACCTGGGGGACTGCATCATAGGCGTTGTAGCAAGGAACATCCTCGCAGGCGCTTGGCTTTCGATTCTCACAGTCGAGGAGAAGATCGATAAGCCCCTGGAATCCGTTTTGAGTAGCCAAACCGCTGGCCTGGCAGTCTATGCTGTCATCCGAGCCTACTTGTGGCTGCAGAAAAACACAAGCTTTTCCTATAACTTGTTGTGATACTTGCAGCGAATGACCAAGTGGGACAAAAACGAAGCCAGGAATGGAGCACCTTCTGAAGCAACATACCACCATATTGATGCCTTTGATTCCATTGAACAAAACAGATAGGAGTTGGCATGTGCGTGCTCTAGAACTCTGCTTTGAATGTGGACTGGCATGTTGTCAGTTGCTACAGTCACCTAGGGTCTCTGAAGTGCTCCCACGTCGCAACGCTCAGGTGCAGAGCGGGAAAATGCTACGAAACACGGGGACCGCTTTCGGAATCGGAGGTGCTGAAAGAGCAGGGCTGGCCGGCTGGCCGGCTGGCCCGAGTGGAGGATGCGGTGGCCAGAGAAAGTGCAAACCCGGGACTTGGGGGAGGCCTTGCCCATGGGAAGCTGAGGCATGAAAACGGCGCAGGGCCAAGGAAGGTAGTCTACCATGCCACCTTCTGAGCCATCTGATGAATGCTCACGGAGCAGAAGAACACATCAGGCAGGATGACGTCTGTGCAGCCATGTGACTGCATGCCACTTGGTGGTGCCCGGCGCCGTTAAACCATGCTCGAGACCGAGTGTCACACAGTGTTGCAGGCTTTTGACGTCATGCTGGGGAGCAGCTGCGACGAGAAATGTATAATTACCACTTCGTTCTGTGTGAAGTGATACACCACATGCCAAGTTCCCAGACGATCGGCTTTCCCTCACAACGACGCGTGCTGATAGCCAATCAGCTGATCAAGAAATTCCCCAACCTGCCCCTCAATCTCTGTTCTGGCCAAGCAGCGCATCACTGTAAACTCTTTTATCCACTCATCCTCTCGATAGGAACCAAACTTCACCTTCAGAGCAAGTTGGACCAAACTTGATCTCATTGCTTGCAGACACGGTCCCTGTGTCTGTGTGCAAACCTCAAGGGCCTTCCGGGTTGGCTTGCTTGCCGTCTCCCTCTGAAAAGCCTCTGCCGAAACCGCCCAGCTGGCCATGTAACGCTGCGCGCTGGCCAAGCTGAAGCCCACCGTGGCAAAGTAGAGGAGGAAATTGAAGAAAAGGTGCCTAAGACCGAGATATACCCTCCACTTTTCTATCCACTGTGTGTGGCATGTAGCTTCTGCATAGCATCTCTGCCGAGCTTCATATGTACCGCTTCCGTAGTATGCAAATAGTCTTGCTCTGATTCTGGAAATCCGAAGTCTTCCACAGATTCAGTCCATCTGAGGATATGCTGGAAGATGTGAAAATAGTTGTGGGCAGTCCAAAGTATGAAGGCCTCAGCGTACGTACCACGTTAAACAAACTTGAACGTGCCCAAGGCCATCCCAACATCCCAACGCTGACGAGGGTCCAGGATTCCAAGCACAGTGAACTCTGCAGTGACGCGATTGAAGAACACAAGCCACAATGGCTCCAAGCTCTTCTTCTCTAAATCATGAGCTGCATGTTCCTGTCAATGATTTCAGCGGCCACTTGGACCATGCGCGCTCTTTGTCCGGCCTCTTGGGTAAGCCCCGTGACCGAAGAGTGCTCGGCAATATGATATAGCTTGTGGGTCAGCACTTCCACCATCCTCGGGTCAAACGCACCTCTCTATGATTCTAAAAGCATGCTAGCACCTGCTGGCAAGGGGCAGGGTCAGGCTCACAAGAATGACTACCGTGACCTCTTCGAAGAACTCCAACTCCTCTGCGAGATAAGCCACACGCTTTCTCGTCTGGCACTTAGCATCTGACACACCGATGCAATCCGGGCACATAATCGTCAGCACACCCGAACCAAATGCCGCTGATGCCATGATGGCCTGCGTGTTCCTCGAGTACAGAAATCTTGCTGTGAGAAAGGTGCAAAACTCTGCAGCCAGGGCCTCCGCGCAGTGAAGGGTGTCATTCTTGCCGTCTTCGGCAACATGGGAGTCATGGGTGCCAGCACCGCTAGCCAGCAAAAAACACGCTGCAAGCGTGGCCCAACCTTAGGCACAGGGTACAACCACGCACTCACCATGAAAAATGATCCGCTCTCACTTGCTGCTATGCGTCGCAACCCTAGGCGCATTTCCTGCAAAGGCTGCTGCATGCTCAAAACCCATCTGCGAGCGGCTGGTGCAAGCAAACCATTTCGGCCTTTAGGGTCAGCGCGCCTGACCCTACATAGCCCCACCGCACGGCATTGAGACTGCACAGCTGCACAGAAGAAATCTGAGATGTACCCATGTGTTATAGAGTTGAACTGAGCAGTAACATTGCTTGGCTTGGTGTCTGTGAACCCAATGCTAGCCTAATTCGCTTGACATCCTCAGAACCCACATTGTGAAATATGGCTCAAAGCATCAACGGCCGACGCCTCTTCCCTGCTTTTTAGCCCTGCTGCGAACATGCTTTGGTTCGGCAGCTTTGATACACGATCTGGTCGGCAACGCTCAGAAGACGTGGTCCTGTCGGCGAAGCTCCCGAAACTCCTGCCAAGCTTTGCAAAGCTTTCCAGTCCTGACCGCAAAGAGAGCCTCCAACCATCTACTTCAACTCAGCATTGGCTCCGAGGGGTTTGCTGCCATCAGCTCGCGTAGGAGTGCCTTTCGCAAGTTGGGCATTGCCCTGGGTTCAGGGGATATGCGAGCACAACACAGCATTCTGGGCCAAGTATGCCCGCCTCAGCGTTCTCGGAGCGCGGCAAAGTACAGCGCAAGCGCAGTGCAAGGCCAGAGGCAACCCGGCCACGCCTGCCACAAGATGCGACCAGGAAAGTGCATGGCTTATCCCGAAATGCCGGAAACTCCAGGCAGTGCACCTGCCCGTCACAGGCACTGGATTGAGCCGCGAGAGGTCGCAGTCCACCACAGGGGCCCCGCTGGACTCGACTATATCCCAACACAAGTCCTGAGATCAGACCAGCACTTTCCCGAACGGTATATGTTAAATCAGCGAAATTTTGGCCCTGAGCCGAAGGGCTGACGGCACGCTGACGACCCGACGGACCTGCGGCAAGATCTTGGAGGTGTCCAAAGGAAAGCAGCCACTGGGCGCATCCTTCCGGAACTTTGCCATGTGTCCAAAATGTCCAAAAAATGCCAGATTGTAGAGCTGCCTGCCTGGTCTGGCACAAGAGCCTGTAGCTCAGCCTCCATAGTCAGCCTCACCAGAACTGCTGGCGCTTGATGTTGCTCGCCTCTTTTGAATTCGGCCCGGCTGCCGCTGGCCGCTTCTCAACAGCGGCACACCAGGCCTGACAGTTTGCAGCATAAACAGGGTTTTTGTTGTTGAGAAGTCAGTTGACGTGAGCCTAAGATGGAAGATGGCTGGTTGAAATTGCTGGTTGGGGCGATGCTCGCCGGCCTGGGGAGTGGAAGCACAATGTCGCTCAGATGCCACTGGCCTCGCACACATATGCAAGAGGCCACAAAATTCGTGGCGAATACTCTTTGAACCTCCTGTTCTCGTATCAATCACTATCTCAGAACCATATTTACTTTACTGAAACGGCCGCAGCGCCAGCACGTAGTGAGCTTTTGCGGTTATTTCGCACTGTCGCGAGCTATCTCGCAAATGAGATGTGAGTGAGAACGGTAGAGTCTACAGAGGCGCGTGCCGCGGTGACACTGACAAACTCCTTCAAAGACTTTACTGACCAACTCCTTCAAACGGGTTTCTGCCGCTGCTCACAAAGACTTTGCTGAAGCTGCACCTGTCCGTAGATCTTTCCTCGAAAGTTCCCGGGGCTCACCAGCCTTCCTCAGGTCGGTTTACTGCGCAGTGACAGGTCTAAGATCACAAGTGCAACAGGCGCCTGGGTCGGATCCTGTCCCGGTCTCTATGAATCGGATGACTTTAAACGCCCGCAAACAGGGGTTGACCGGCCTGAAGTTTAGACTTCGCAAAGGAGATCAATGCGAAACCACCCCACAACCCTTGTAAGCTAAATCCTAAGTGATCCCAACCCTAAACAACCCTACCCCATACACTTGAAACAGCCGCAAACCCTAAAACCAAAATACCGCAAGCCCTGTAAGCCCGAAAGAACCCCAAAGCCCAAACCTACAAACCTTCAACAGCCCCAAACCCTGAATAATCCCAGAGCCTAAAGCCTCAACCGGCCCAAACAATACAAAGCCATACACACCAAACCACCCAAAGCAGTGAACAACCCCAAAGCCCTGAGCTACGCTGAAAAAACCCAGCCATAAAACCCAGACCACCGTAGACAACTCCAAGCAACAAGCCACCCTGAACAGCCCCCAATCCCCGAATCCCCAACCATCCTAGACAGACCCAAGCACTAAAGTACACTGAACCATTCCAAACCCTAAACAATCCAGAGTCTGAATACCTCAACCGCTCCCAACAACAATGCCCCATTCAAAGCCCTAGACAGCCCCAAACCCTAAATCCCAACTAACTCCAAACACTCCCAGCAATGAACAACACGAAGCCCTGAACCCTGCACGACCCCAAAAAATCATAAAACCCAGAGCCCAAAACCAAGTAAGAACAAGGGCGTTCTGCATCGATCAGAGTAGTTGGCTCCTGGACGGATCCTGGTCCGTCGTCAGCCTTGAGCAGAAATGCCCAGCTGCTGATCTGTTTCGTATACCCAGCGGAATGCCAAACTCCCCCAGTTGCGCATGCGTGTTTCCCAACACCTTTTTGTGCCAAACGAAGTTCTGTCAAGAACATGCAGTTTGCTGCCCGCATGCCTAGCGCTGTGTCGGGACGGTGTTGTGACGCATGCCTCACGCATGCTCGGTGTGCAAATCATCCCCCGAAAAAGTAACGCCGGGGGGCTCATCCCAGACCAGGTCACCTGCGAGAGGTTCTTTCCCGAGATCCGCAAGGCGAGCCGCTGCTGCTCGGTTCCAGCAGATGCGCCCTACCTAAGCACTTGGCCCCATGGCTTCCCGTGTCACAACTGGCTAAAGTGCGGCTTAGGCAGGGTTTTTGGGATTCAAAGCAGCTTGCACAAGCAGCAGCATCACTGGCGCAAGGTTTCTTGCCCAGCAAGCTGTTCGAGCCTCATTGCCAGCTGCCTTTTCGCGTGCCCCCTGTGGAACTATCAATCTACATGTTCCGAAAGGGCAACTGCAGATGTACAGGTTGGGTGGCAAATGATGCTTTCCGTGTGTGGTTCTGTTCCCACTGTCAATGTGACCCGTTCTGCCCCTCCCTCAAACAGCCTTCACACGGTTTGCCACGACTTAGCCCTCTTTTTGTGCCAGGTCGGCCGCAAAGCGGCAGCCGAATAGGCCAGGTTCCGCCGATTCCGCCCCCGGAGACCAGCAAGCTGGGCTTTAAGCGACAGCGATTTTTAAGCTTTCGCATTTTTCCGTATCGATTTTGCAGATTGTGTTCCTGCATGTTCCTGTTGCCTCCCTCAGGCTGAACTGAAAGAGCTGAGTGCTCTTCGGGTGCAGGACCGCAATGTCACGTAGAGCACAGGTCTACGGAATCTGCAAACTGCAATCTTGCATTTTTGTGCATGTTGGAAGATTTGGAGAGCTAACATTTTGGGATGTAGGTTTTGAGCTTTTGCTGTTTTGGGCATGTTGGAAGATTTGGAAAGCCACCGTTTGCGGATGTAGGTTTTGAACTTTTGCTGTTTTTCGCATGTTGGAAGATTTGGAAAGCCACTGTTTTGGGATGTAGGATTTGAGCTGTTGCTGTGTTTGGCATGTTGGAAGATTTGGAAAGCCACCGTTTTGGGATGTAGGTTTTGAGCTGTTGCTGTTTTGGGCATGTTGCAAGATTTGGAAAGCCAACGGTTTGGGATGTAGGTTTTAAGCTTTTGCTGTTTTTCGCATGTTGCAAGATTTGGAAAGCCACCATTTTTTGGATGTAGGTCTTGAGCTTTTCCTGCTTTTGGAATGTTGGAAGATTTGGAGAGCTAACATTTTGGGATGTAGGTTTTGAGCTTTTGCTGTTTTGGGCATGTTGGAAGATTTGGAAAGCCACCGTTTTGGGAAGTAGGTTTTGAACTTTTGCTGTGTTTTTCGCATGTTGGAAGATTTGGAAAGCGACCAGTTTTGAATGTAGGTTTTGGGCTGTTGCTGTGTTTGGCATGTTGGAGGATTTGGAAAGCCACCGTTCTGGGATGTAGGTTTTGAGCTTTTGCTGTTGTTGGCATGTTGGAAGATTTGGAAAGCCACCATTTTGGGATGTAGATTTTAGCTTTTGCTGTCCTTCGCACGTAGGAAAATTTGAAAAGCCAACGTTTTGGGATGTAGATTTTGAGCTTTTGCTGTTGTTGGCATGTTGGAAGATTTGGAAAGCCACCGTTTTGGCATGTAGGTTTTGAGCTTTTGCTGCTTTTCGCATGTTGGAAGATTTGGAAAGCCACCGTTTTGGGATGTAGGTTTTGAGCTTTTGCTGTTGTTCGCATGTTGGAAGATTTGGAAAGCCACCGTTTTGGAATGTAGGTTTTAAGCTGTTGCTGTGGTTGGCACGTTGGAAGATTTGGAAAGCCACCGTTCTGGGATGTAGGTTTTGAGCTTTTGCTGATTTTCGCCTGTTGGAAGATTTGGAAAGCCACCGTTTTGGGATGTAGGTTTTGAGC